CGTTAATCAAGACGTATGAGCTTTAGTTTTTATGTCATTAATGTGTTTTCATGTATCACTGAGTGATTTCGTAGAAAATATCAAAAGTTATACAAAAAAATGAAATTGTTTGTTGTGACTATACGTAAAAAAAACCAAAGAAAATATCCAAACACACTTGTCACGGCATGACCTAGCCAAAGACGCATGGAATAAACAAAATTCCACAAAAATTAAACAAACAACTAGGATTGCAACAACAACACGTATGATGATGCACATTATTACAGACAGACGAACATACAATAAATGTATGAACATGAAATAGGTGCGTATTATTAGCTCCACCTACGAGCCACCACTAAATATGTGTAAATATACAAGTGAGTCACTTTCAAAGTGCTGCTCGACGTAAATTAGATAGAATTATGTATGTACATCGTGAGAATTATTGCATATGTAATTGTACTAGTAACTTTATACTTTGTATATTTTGCAGCTGAATTCAACGTTTAATTTCAGTATATATCGAATAATTCAAGGCAAGACTTATCATCACTTCTGTACGTTTTGGTTTTGGCCATCAATTGTAAAAGTAGCTGTTTATATCGAATTTATAATATCTATCGTGAGACATACTAAATTAACTAAAAAAATCGCGGGTTACTCACGTGAATATATTGAGAAAAGTTCTACTACGTAAACCTAGATAGAATATAAAAATATATATATTTATTAAATAAAAGGCTTGATATTAAATATCCTACTAACATTATAATTACAATTAACTTAAGTAATTAAAGTATGATCATAAATAAAAAGAATTTGTTCTATTAAAGGGGTTGCTCTATTTTGTAAATTAAGATTTGATCATGTTGCCATTTCTAGAAACAGTATATTCCTTTATAAATGGATATAAAAAATCCACACAAAAATCCATATTTGTAAATAAACAAATAAGTTCAAAATACAGCCTTTGTCGTATACTTTAAATTAAGGTCTAATTTTAATATTCCCTCCTACTCAGAGCGCAAGAAACTAGCTCTTTCCCTTTCCAATTGAAAATGGGCGTGACCAAGAAACTATCGTCCGATACATCACTATGGCTCAGTGGTCAGATTCAAGTCGGAAATGTCACGTGGCACGTGTGTTAGTGTGTGGTAATTATAACCTGACACATCACGTCTTCACGCCGAGAGCTGCGGGTGAGGCAGGAGATGCCTGATAGATGCTCTCATACGACAAGGAACTTCAACACTGTAGTAAAACTAAAATATCTAAACATAAGACATTGTCATATTAAATAACTATTTTAGTTTTAAGCTTAGTTTTTGTATTTTTCTAACAAATTCAATAATAAGTTCGATATTTGACGCTAAAACAAGACGTTACCGTTTGCACTCATAAAATGTAGTGTTCTATCACTATTATATTAGACATTTCGAAAATGAAATAGTGGTTATCTTATTCATAATCAAAATAATTAAATGTGTTTTGAATTAAATAGTAAGTTTGTAAAACCGAGACCTTGTTTTGACCGAAACTGTGTTTACATTAAATAGAAAATAGAAGAAAAAACTGATGAATGAAAGTTTTGTTACAACACAGACTATATGCTCTAGATAATAGGCATAATAAATATTGTTCTTGGACGAAATATTCTTTACCGTACGTCCATTTATCAGTCATCCAAGAAAAAAATATCAGCGTGCATTATTTGTTATAAGTACGCTAGCAATTTCGGAATTAAAAACACGATACGAAAATCGACTAAATGAAGAATTATCATTATAGTATTTCAATAGTCTCCAGTTTTATATCTATTGCTAAAGACCAGTTAAAATATTTCTGTTTCCTCTCATTTCTTCAAAACAGGAAACTGATCATTATTTTGAAATATTGCTGGCGTTACTGATATTTATTATTTGTTTAGTCTACAGTTAGCGAAATTATGATATTGTATCAACGGCTTATAAGAAAAAGATATTATTACATTTGTTATACATCAATACCATTGATATTTCATTTCCTATACGATCTAGTTTTTTTAAATACATATTTCTATAGTTATTAGGAATGTAAGACTAGCCGTCATGATTGATGGCTAACCTATTTCTGAATGCTACATTGACCTATTTTCCTGATCATTAAACCAGACGTACAATGACAAACAAACTTCCGAGTCTTACAAAATGATCACGTCACCATGGTAACCGGATGACAGATATCGTAAACATGCAACATTTTTTACTAATGTGAATATTATTTTACATTGTGAGAGAAAAGAGTAAAAAGTAAGAACTATTGATTGCAGATGATGTCATTCAAGCGACAGTTCTAAAAGTTGATACTAAGAACGAAAGAACTGTTCGACGTCCAAATGTCAGTGTACGGCGCGCCAATCAGCTCCGCGTTCCTCACTGTTTACTATTCAACAACTTTACCACCACACACCTCATCATTCTTAGCACCCAAGCAATAAGACCTATTATCCCTTGATTGACAGCGAAGAAAAGTTTGTCAAGTAAAAGACTGCGAATTAAATTTTGCGAATGTCGAAGCTCTTATCGCGGGGTAGTAAGGTTTGTTATACATTGTTTGGTGTACGAAGAAAGTTTGTGGGAGTAACAGGCCCGGTAGGCCGGTCTAAATGCGTCCGCGTCTTTGGCACGGCACTGGGGCAAGGACGCAGAGCGCCTATGCAGTCCGCAGATTGATTGACCGATTAATCTTAGCGAGACAAGACTGGGAACATGAAATATTATCGATCTTATAACGTGGAGATCCAGCGTGGGATGGTGACTGTCTCCAGACACAATTTACATGAAACACAAAATTTATTTAAAACGGAAACAGCCGTAATGTGTTTCTGTGTTGATCGGTTGCGTATAAAGTGTAATAAAATAAACTGACGCTTTTAATAACGATGTATGATGAAACCAGCGCTCACACTTCCCTGTTTCCGGCAAAGTAAAGTAACACATATATTTTACTGCAACAAATGCACTCGAAGCCGTTACGTGCACTATTACATCGATGTATTAACGTAAAGAACAACGTAATATATAGTCTAAAATCGAATGTAGACTCCTAATGAAAAGTAATTTCTCAATTAAGTATTTCCATCAAGAATCGTTTCCTAAGGAACTTTAAAACGTATTTCTCGCATTTAAAGTAACATGAGTTTAATCTTTTCAGTATTTATCAAAGGAGACACAAATATAATTCATACTGTGTAGACAGATGGGTCAAGTTCATCTACTAATTCAACATGTTTGTTCAGTAAATATTTCATCACATAGGAATGTACTGTTTATCGTGGACTCTTCTAATTTCATGTCAGCTGTCCTACGAGTTGTGGCTACATTCACGGCGATATTTTCATACATATTTACACTAACATGTAACGTCTCCTATCCATACAGTATGTTACAATACCTGTGTATAACTACATGTTTTATTAGTGTGTTTCGTATGTTTGTTTCCCTGTTTGTACAAAATCCTGTGTCTAGTTGTCCGTGTGGTGGTTAACGTTCACTTCACTTCACACACGAGATGGTGGGCGTGGGTATGTACACATGAAGAGGTTCAATGGGGTCGGTAGAGGAGCGAGTAGACTATTACAGGAGGATTACGAAACGGTTCGATCGCCGAAGTATTGGTGTCGACGCGCGCGTGCGTCGCTCTCCCAAACACAGCCGTGACTGCGTACGAGCCCGTACTCCGATACTCACTACGCTCCTAACTCACAATATTCTATCACGATTCTATCCAAATCCACTTTGATTCAATCGCGTGACGTTTTCAACCAAGATGAATCTCATTTTGTATGCAATGTGAACTATGTAGCGCCATGTTGGGCCCGCGTAGTGAGCCATACCCGTCAAGTGCCAAGCGTTATTGACGGACTTACTGACAAATGAGTGGCGGCGGAATCTCATCTCTGTTACCGAACAAACCAAGTGAAATAACGAATTAACTGAATAAATAATGTGACTTTAATTTACTTGAAAACAAACTTTTGGGTATACAATACTCAGGTTCAATCGATCATAGGAATGGAGAACTTGCGGTCATCTGAAAAAGAGAAGAAGATATTTCAGTGTGCGTACGAACAGTTTCGAAACACGGATGTGAAGAGGCGGGAAGCTGCGGAATCCGGTTCGACATGTCCGTATACACTGCGGTTAAAATAGATTCATCATATTATTGTACATTACGCTGACGCTAAATATTATTCAATTGTGTTTTGACTGCTTCTGAATGGGATACCCACGTACTAATTTAGTAATTTATGTACAGCATTAGCCTAACATGATGTATGAGTAAGTACACATGACTGAAGGTTTCTATATCAGATTGCTATCAGACTAAGGCTGTTAAATGAAATGTGTTTATTATTGAGATTTACAATAAATCAATAATACCTCTATAAAACGTTATCGATCCATCAAATGACAAATTTATCCACACGCACATGGAGTGACGATCCCCGTAAAGTATGCAGCAGTGTTTGGACGTGCAGAGCTGGAAATTGTAATACAGTAATGTATGGGGACACGTCGTTAATGATGAGGGTAACAATGACAAAAGGTATTAACACCCATAGTAGACACAGAGCTGCGGGTTGTCGGGGAACAGGATTTCCTACTAGTGCTTCGAGCTGGAGCTCTTGGTTCGTACTTGGTTTTTAGTAAGGGACTGACAGACCCCCTCGTCTCAGCTAAGGTGGGACGAGTTATCTTTTGGAAGATTTTCTTTCGTAAAAGGTGATAATCTAACCCTATGCTTAAAAAGAAGTAAATGATTATCAGAGTCCCAATTATTGATGAAGAAAAAAATTTCTCTCTTTTCCCCTCCCCTTCCGAATCTTCTGCCTAATCCCCAAAAGGCCGACAACGTACTTGTAACGTCTTTCATGTTTCGGGTGTCTTGGGCGGCGCCGATTGCTTACCATCAGGTGTCAGCTCGTTTACCGGCTTATCCCAATAAAAACATAAGTAAAAGTTAGCGAGCTACAGTCAGCTGTGTGGGTCGTGCGGCGCGGGCAGCAGTAGACAGCGGCGCACGACGTGGAGCCCGTCGAGGCGCACGGCCAGCACCCCGCAGACGGCGGCCGGGCCGCGCGCCGCGCGCACCGGCAGCACCTCCGTGTACCCGGGGCTGCCCGCGCTGTACGCCAGCAGGTCGCCCAGGTACAGGTACGCGTAGCTGTACCACCAGCCACGTTACGTTATACGCGCGTTTGCTCAACGTTTTCACTGTCAGTACATGGACCATACAACAGTGGTTTATACACTGACAGTGGAAATGTTAAATTATTATTTTGAGTTGGAGTATTGATATTTTGATGTTGTTTGTCTTTTATATTTCTGTTTTGTGTATAGTATTTTTTATGATCTATTTAGTTGATCGAATTAAATATTTACCTTTTTTGGGTATAACATTGGACAAATATTGTAACTGGAAAATACACATTGACAAATTATGCACTAAACTACAAAGATTTGTATTCGTCTTACATAGGATAACACGGATAGCCGGTCTCAATGCAGCACTTTGTGCCTATCACGGATACGTAGCATCTATTCTCCGCTACGGCATCATAGTATGGGGTAACTCCGTAGACATTATTAAAGCATTCCGACCCCAAAAGAAATGTATTCGCATATACATAGCTGTGTTCCACTCTTTAAAAAGTTAAAAATTCTACCACTCCCATCTCTGTATATATTCGAACTGTATATCTTTGTGCATAAAAATATAGGTTTATTTCAAACACATAATAATGTTGTAATAAGAAAAAACAGACATACTCATAAGTTATGTGTACCACAACAAAGAATTCAACTTTTTTCTAATAATGTATACTGTATAGCAATTCGTATTTATAATAAATTACCAAATGATTTTAAAACCTTTAATCTTATAGAATTTAAAAAGAAGCTGTTTTGTTTTCTATTGCATAGATGTTATTATTCAACAAATGATTTTTTGAATGAAAAATTTAACTCTAAATTCAACCTAGACGACTTTTTATTATCCTTCAAATAAATTGTAAGAATAATCTTAATTTTGTACCGAAAATAATTTTACTACATTGTGATAACTAATCGTCCATATTATGCAATTTTTTATTTTTGGTTGTATGTTTTTACCTGTCTTATTTTAATTCTAACTTTTAATATTTGTACGCTGGAAACAGCAGAATATTCAGAACATTAATTTATTTGTAACACCTTTGTAACAATATTCTAACAAATAAACGTATTATTATTATTGTGGTCAAACTTTTATTTTTCTCGACATTTTAGGAATGTCGGTAATTGAATGAAACCACGGGCCTAAGCCAAGTGAGTTTCATTTATTTGATTCGGTTCAATATTCGCGTCGTCTTGTAGGAATTTGCGAACTATTCTGCACGTGTTTAGGATTGTGGCTTTTTGCATAGTTATATATGTATTTTTAGGTAGTTCAATTTGTTGTATGTAGTGATGAAGGTGTGTAGGTATTACGCCGGTGCTAGAGAGCACCAGAGGCACAATGTATACTCTGTTCATCTTCCAGATTCTGATTATTTCCTCTTTTAAATCTGTATATTTATGTATTTTTTCAGTCATTGTTTTTTGTAGGTTGTGTGTGTTAGGGACTGCTATATCAATAATGTAAGTGTGTTTCTTCTGTTTATCTATCATGGTTATATCGGGTCTATTATTATGAATTGTCTTGTCGGTTAAAATTGCTGTATCGTAGTATATTTTGTGACTCTGATTCTCCAGCACCGGTTTGGGATTATATTGATAGTACGGTTCGGTTTTAGGCGGTAATAGGTTGCATTTTATGGCTAGCTTTTGATGAATAATACGGGCAACTTGATTGTGTCTATGGGTGTAATCAGTTTGAGCTAAGTTTGGGCATGCACTCGTGATGTGTTGTATATTATCAGCTGCGCGATGACACTTTCTGCATTTGTCGTTCTGAACAGTGGGGTCCTTAAGTATATATTTTTTGTATTTATGACCTGGTCTTGTATGGCTATCATAAAGCCCTCAGTCTCTGGGAAAAGAGAACCTAATTTTAGCCATTTATTCGAGGCGTCTATATCTACATGCGGTTGTTCCAAATCGTGCAGGTGTCTACCATGCAGTTCCTTGGAGCTTTCTTTATCAATGGGATGTCCTCAGGGCTCGGTTATTGGCCCGTATTTATGGAATTTAGGATTTGATGATTTGCTCGCGATTCCCCTTCCTTGTAGCTGTACTTTGACTGGATATGCGGATGATGGCCTTTTGCTAGTACAGTCAAATACCCGCGCCGGACTGGAGAATTTGGCTAAGGACTGTCTCAGTAGGATCTCGCGATGGGGCGAACGAAATCGCTTGACTTTTGCACCCCATAAAACTTACCAGCTATTGCTTAAAGGAAATCTAAAGTCGTGGCCGTCTATTAAATTTAACAACGTTTCCGTAAAACGAAAGGAGTCGGTTTGCTACCTCGGTCTAGTTTTGGAAAAGAACTTTTCTTTCATTGAGCACATTAAGGCTATTAGTGAGAAAGCCAAAAATAACTTCTATGCGCTGACGCGAATTTCAAAAGCCGCCTGGGGTCTCTCTTTTCTTACGCTCAGGATCATATACGGAGCAACCTACCTGGGATGCGTGTGCTACGGGGCTCCTGTCTGGGCTGATAGGGCCACAATAGGCGCGGTACGGCGAAAACTTCTTCAAGGCCAGCGTCTAGCCTTGATTTTCCTGTGTAAGGCTTATAGGACGGTTAGCACTGAAGCCCTACCTGTGCTCGCGGGCGTACTTCCGGTAGATCTTGAGGTGCAGCGACGTGCTGCTATGTACTACAGTGCGAGACCTAATTTGTCAGCAAGCTTTCTAGCACAACGTGATAGAAATAAAATTGCTAGATTGTTTAAGCCAATAACGGACGTTTGGGATGAGCTTATAACTGAATGGCAGGGTAGATGGGCATCTTCTATTAAGGGCCGCCACCTATATCAGTTCTTCCCATCCGTGCATGAGCGGCTGGAGAGGACATGGTTGGAGGTGGATCACTGTGTTGCCCAATTTCTTACTGGCCACGGCAACTTTAAAAGCAAATTGTTCTCATTTAAACTTATTGATTCACCATGGTGCCAATGTTCGACAGTGGATTTGCAATACGAGCAGTCGGCCCATCACATACTCTGGGAGTGTGATCTCTGGCAATATGAACGTAACACTATGTTGAATAATTTAATTGTTTCGTCAGGTGTAGCTTATTATACGGACCTTGTGGAATCTAGAACAAATTTCCGTGCGTTTAGGCGTTTTTGCCATACGTATTATTGGAAGCAAGTGTAACAGCTCACACATAGGACCCACTTAGTTTTTTAGTCAAATTTCCGTGGTGCTTGGCGACTGGGCTTCACCCAGTTGTACAGTCTCTTCTTTGTGCCTTTAGGCTTAATTCATTCTGTCTCCTGCAGAAATTCACCGAGGGAAGTGGAAACTATAGTTTTTTCTTCTCCTCTTATAATATCTTCTGATTCATTTCGTTGCGGGAACCAAGACAGTTACTCATGTCCCTGGGACGCGCCGGACTTCAGTGTTCCGGTGTTTTCATGGTTGTATCTACTGTAGATCCTGGCTTACAGGAGTTGCAGCGGTTTTGGGAGGTTGTGGCGGGCTTGTCCCTTTAAAAAAAGTTCCTTGGAGCGCCATCTATTGATTTTGTCGGTGATATGATTTTGAGGGGTTTTATAACTGATGTTCTTGTTGGATAAATTAAGTGGGGTACAGTTTCTATCGAGATCAACTATCGCTGAGTGCATGCTGCTAGTGGTGATTTTACTGAAGAAAAAGTTCCTAAGGTTTTGAATTTGACCTACCCATAATACATTTAAATCTATGAGTTACTCTAATAATAAAGGGCATGACTCGAGGGAAATCACCCGGTCACGACGGTATCAGCATCGAACATTTTCAGCATGCGGGGTCACACCTCCCGAGGCTCCTGGGTCTGTTATTCACGCTCTGTATTAGGCATTCCTATCTGCCAAATGAGCTGATGAAGACGGTGGTAGTGCCTATAAGTAAAAACAAGACTGGAGATAATTCTGACAAGAGCAACTACCGCCCAATCTCATTAGCTACAACCACAGCTAAGGTGCTTGATGGCTTGCTTGAGAGACAGCTTAAGAAACATCTAAAATTAAACGACGCACAGTTCGGTTTTAGACCAGGACTTTCGACAGAATGCGCAGTTATGTCTCTCAAGCAGACTGTCAGGTATTACACAGACAGGAGCACGCCTGTTTATGCAGCCTTTCTTGATCTCTCCAGGGCTTTTGACCTGGTTAGGTATGATATACTCTGGCATAAATTGAAGTACTCAGGTGTGCCAGGCGAGATAATTAATATGTTTAAATATTGGTATGATCACCAGACTAACCAGGTCAAATGGCTTGATGAGCTTTCTGATGAGTACAGGTTGGAGTGTGGAGTGAGACAGGGGGGGTTGACGTCTCCTACACTCTTCAACTTGTACGTAAACGGGCTGATTGTTGAGCTGAGCAACATCGGAGTGGGATGCTCGATTGATGGTCGCTGTATCAATAGTATAAGCTACGCAGACGATATGGTGTTGCTCAGCCCATCAGTAGCCGCGCTCAGAAAGCTGATAGGTGTGTGTGAGAAGTATGCGAGAGTGCACGGTCTTCAATACAATGAGCAGAAAAGTGAGCTCATGGTATTTCAGGCCAGGGGTCGTAAACTGGGGGATGTGGCACCTGTACTGCTTAACTCTGTCGCTCTTCAAAGAGTGAAGGAATTTAAATACCTCGGCCATGTGGTTACCGAGGATTTAAAAGACGATAGGGACATAGAAAGGGAGAGGAGGGCGATGGCGGTCCGCTGTAATATGTTGGCACGCAGATTTGCGAGGTGTAGTCTTGGGGTAAAGATCACGTTGTTTAAAGCATTCTGCCAAACTCTCTACACCTGCAATCTGTGGGTCAGCTACACGCAGCGGGCCATCAACGCTCTCCGTGTACAATATAATAACGCGTTTAGGGTGCTGGTGGGGCTCCCGCGCTGCTGTAGTGCGTCTGCGATGTTTGCGCACGCGCGCACTGACGGCTTTCACGCGGTGCTACGGCGCCGCATCGCCTCGCTGATGTTCCGTACGCGTGGGAGCGCCAACACCATCTTGAGCGAGCTCAGCCAAAAAATGGATAGCCCCCTTATGAGGCACTGGGTTCAAACTCAAGTGTGCGTGACCGGTGCCTCAAAGGGAGGCAAATACTTAGGATAATTCTATGGTTAAAAAAAAAGAAATGAAATAATGTTGTTTTTCATGTCTTATTTATATTTGTGTGGATGTGATGATATTTTTATTTTTTTACCTAAATTGACATTGATTAAATTGACAATATAATAGAACGAAAAATTGATAATGCGGTGTTATAATGTAAATAAATTAAATTAAATTAAATTAAATTAATTAGGAATATATAATAATAAACTGTAAATGTATGGACCCAATATGTCTGAAATAAATTTATTTTATTTTTTATTTTATTTTTATGAGTCCTCTTCCTCCTTTTTCCCTCTTTATCGAAACTCTCTCAATTGCTGACTTCGGGTGAAGGTAGTTATGCTTTGTTAGAGTGGTCCGGATTTTAATTTCTAAACTACGGATATCTGTTCGTGTCCATTTTACAATACCAAATGAGAATGTTAACACAGGAATTGCAAAGGTATTAATAGCTTTAAATAGATTTTTTGAGTGGAGTTGTTTTTTACATATTACATTAAGTCGATTTGTAAACTGTGTAGATAAATCTTTTTTGATTTTAATGTGATCTATAATGTTAGACTGGTGAATGCCTAAGTATTTATAAGTTTCTGTGGGTTCCATAGATTCAAATGCATCAGGTTCGTCTACATTGTTACCAGTACTTATTATTTTGCCTTTTTGAATGTGTAGTATGCGGCATTTATCTAGACCAAATGACATATTTATGTCTCTACTAAATTGGGAAGTTAACTCTATTAGGGATTGTAAGCAATTGTTAGATTTTGCAAATAATTTAATATCATCCATATACATGAGATGACTTATGGCTGTATCTGAATTTAAGCTATAACCGTTATTTGTATTATTGAGTAGGTGAGACAAAGGGTTTAAGGCAAGGCAAAACCATAGAGGACTGAGATCGTCTCCTTGAAAAATTCCATTTCTGATATGAATATCATCTGTGGTGACAGTATCTGTACCATTAGTTAAGTGTAGGGTTGCTCTCCAATCAGACATAGCATTTCTCAAAAAGTTAATAATGGTAGGATTTATTTTATATATTTCTAAGATTCTAAGTAGCCAAGAGTGGGGAACGCTATCGAATGCTTTTCTGTAGTCTATGTAAGCTATGGATAAGTTTTTCTTTTGTGTATGAACATATTTTAAAATGGTAGAGTCTATTATAAGCTGTTCTTTACATCCTCTATGATTTTGCCTACATCCTTTTTGTTCTTCAGACAGTATATTGTTTCGGTGAAGATGACTATTAATTAATTGTGTAATGAGTGAAGTAATCAGTTTATAAATCGTCGGTAGGCATGTAATGGGGCGATATTGGGAAGGATTCGACGTATCCTTACTTTTAGGGAGCATGTAAGTGACTCCTTTTGTAATAAAATTAGGCATTGTCTGTTCACCTCTAATGATTTCTGTGACGTTTTTAGCTATAATGTGATGGAGTGTGAAAAACTTTTTATACCAAAAATTATGAATGTTGTCTATACCAGCCGCTTTCCAATTCTTCATTCTTGATGTGACTATTGCAACTTCTTCTGGTGTGATATCAGCTAATTCCATCTCTTCTGTGTCAATCATCCTATCTCTCTCTTCCTCAATCCATTTTGCCTCATCATTATGGTCGTTTCGTTTTTCCCATAAGTCAGCCCAGTAGTTTTTAAGTTCATTTGAATCGGGGATTACATTGTAATTATTTGGTATTCTATTGCCTCGACATGTTCCATAAAAGTTTTTCTCATTAGTTATGAACAGTTTATTATCTTCTTTTCTATGAAGAGATTTTAAATATCTTGCAAGACGTTGTGATTTTAGAACTAATTTTTGCTTTAATGTATCTAAATATTCTTCTGGTCTTATGTTATTTGGTTCATGTATAGTATGTACTTTTGTTTTTCTGAATATCCTATTTACTGTTTTCAATATTTTTCTAGATCTATTGTTGTTAATATATTGTGTCAATCTATCTATATCTGTTCTTAAGATTTTTATATCTATTTCAAGTCTTGTTTGCCAAGAAGGTTTATGGTTTTTACGAGATTGAGGGGATGGTTTATGTGTTCTTATTTTGTATCCTAATTTTTCACAAATAACGTACGCACTGCAATATATTAATGTATGTATATCTAGCAGATCAGAGTCAATAGAATAAAATCGGTTTAATATTTGTTTGTTAAATAAATCAACCAATCCATAGAGCTTTTTGTTCCCTCTAAGTTTTGGTAGCTTAGGACGTGTTGTCGGATCTGTACCGGTGTATTGTGTAACTCTTGTGTATATGTGTCAATCTCTGTCGTATCTCTAGGTTGCGTGATCAGCGCCTGCTGTGATAAGAATTCCTGGGGGTAGTTTGTTTGAGTGAATGCGTGTTGAGTGAATGTTAAGTGTTGTGTGCATGATAAATTTGATTGATTTAAAAGTGTCTTGGGACAGGCGCTTGTTTCTAATTATTGTTCGCATTTGGTCTGATACACGCTGTTCGGAAACTGATACTTGTGGATATTGACGTGAGAATAGTTCGTGCAATCGTTTCCTATATGTTGTCATATCTGTCTCTAACTTTGTAATATAATAATAAGTGCGCATGATAATATATACATCTTTACTCCAAGACATGCGTACTCTTGGTTTACCGGCCTTGGTGGACGCACGTAAAAAGGTATTAACCTCCCGCGCAACATCCAAGGCTGGAATGAGTGGGTCTCTAACCCTGACTGTAGGTGGTGATGAGTTAGGCGACGAAGGTAACGATTGCAATGAAGGGGTATATGAGATGGTACTAGGACTATACGGTTCTTTTGGGAGATTTGTAACATCGTCATTAAAACTATCAGAATATTCTTGTTCGGCTGTGACCTGTTTGTTTATGGGAGCCCGCCTGCTCAACTCCGCACCACTGACGGATCGCATGCTGAAACACCCAGCGTCAGCTCCAGGTGTGCCCCGGCGATCACCCCCGGGAAGCGGCCCTCTCAATTTTCTCTGTAAACGTGTCTCCATGATGTATGGGTTTCCATTGCCATGTTGGCCGCGCCAGTAATTTATCAATCGCGTGTCCGCCCCCCACGTGAATCTGATGGTCGATTCGGACGTATGGTTGGATTTTGGGGGGCTTATTTATTATTATTATACCTAATAATGATAATACAAGCTCATAGGGAACTTCTGGTTAAGAATTCAAACAACAGCCTATCATCGAGAGATAGATAAATAGATGTCCTCTAGTTTCTAAAAAACAACCAAACGAAAATGTTATGACAAACCCTGTCTCCGTTTTTTTTGGCTGGTAATGTAATTACAATAACATTACATATCATAAAACTCATATCACGAGAGCAAGGTCCTCTTACTTAGACATGCCTGATGTGATTTCAATGTAACATCTACTATGCGCGAAAAATTGGGGCTCTTTTTAACCGACTTCAAAAAAGGAGGAGGTTATACGTTCGGCCGGTATGTTGCTTTTTTTTTGTATGTTTGTACGCGCATAACTCTGAGATGCGTGAAGCGATTTGCAAAATTCTTTTTTTGTTTGAAAGGGTATGCTCCCAAGATGGTCCCATTTCCATGAGGTCAGGGTCTGATGATGGGATCCTAGGGAAACTGAGGGGAACTTTCGAAAATTCTATGGGCGAGTAATGCGTCTATTATGTTTTTCAATTACGATTTTTAAACACTACAATTTGATAAGGGTCTGGAGTCGACCTGATGATGGAGCCGCCAGACAGTCGAGGGAACTCCTCAGCGGTTTATATTAACTACCTTGTGTTTAGGCTTGATTAATTTGTATTGATGAGGACTTTACACCTAGATAGAGTGGGGCTGTCATTACGGGTCTGATGATGAAGAAGTGTAATTGTTAAGGGAACTCCTTAACGGTATACAGTAACTACCTTGTGTTTGGGCTTGATTAATTTGTATTGATGAGGACTTTACACTTAGATAGAGTGGGGCTGTCATTGAGCATGTATGTATGTAATAAAATAAAAACTGCGTTTAAAAACCGACTTCAAAAAACCAAAAACTAATAACAAACAAAAAGTCAAAACTAAAAAGCAAAAAATAACTACTATTAGTACTGATAGGTTGCCCACCCACTGATAGGTTAGAAGTCGGTGCCATAAGCTCATATCATAATGATATGTATAACTTAATGTCCACAAAATTGTGAATTAGGTAGATACCTATTAAGGTTTTAATGAATAATTTTGTATGGATCTTATGGCACCGACTTCTTACCTATCAGTGGGTGGGTAGCCTATCAGTACTAATAAAAGATATTTTTGCCTTTTTAGTTTTGACTTTTTGTTTGTTATTAGTTTTTTGAGACTCATTACTCCAGGGAGAAACAAAAGATACATCAATGAGGTCATGTGAGGCATGTACAAGAAACAATTTTAGTTTTGATACTCACCCAATATCCTCACAACTCTCGAGTCCGAGTGGATCCTCAGCGGGTTCGCTAACGACGGAGAAGATAATGCAGTCTCTCTCGTCCTGCGACATCTTGCTGGCAGCGCGGCATCGTGCCATGTGACTGAGCTTCATCAGGTCCGTGTCTTCCAGCTCGAACGCTACAAGTAGAACAGTACAAAAAACTAGAAATATAAGTCTCAATAATAAAAAATTACCGGTAGGGGTGTTTTGAAAGAGATCGAGAACCAAAAATCCCCAAAATTTATTTGTACAAAAGTAGTCTCTAAACATCGGATATAAGGTCTATAATAGAGTTAGTCGAGAACGGTCACCGGTGACAGCTTGGGGATTGAGCAGATAATTTATAAGGTAAATAAGGAGTGACCTATGTTAAACAGAACATAGTTATGCTCCCTTTAAGATGTCCAAAAAGATGGTCAAGCGACATGTATGTTTATCGATTTCAATTCGATTATTTTTTTGCGACCCGCTAAGGATGACACCTAATTTTAGACTGGGTTTATTTATATTATATGTATTTACTGTCGTATTATTTGAGACCTAATACGGTCAATGATAGAAACTTAAAATAAACATTGGGTACTTACTTTTCTTAAAGTTAAAGTAGCACTTATCAACATAGTGTTTGGGCTTGGGCAGGCTGACGGGAGTCTCCAGCTCGGCGCCGGTCCGTCCGAGGAAGGTGTACGCGACGTAGACGCGCTGTACGTGGGGGTCCACCATGGCCTCGCACTCCTCGTTGAGCGCCAGCCACAGCACCGTGATGTCCACGCGGTTGATGCCACTCACTGCTTCTTCATCCATAGCGTACTCCTCCTCCTGAGGATACAATACCTAATGGTTTAAAGTTTTGGTTAATAATGGTTCTAAACAAAGTCTTTTATAACAGCAATCGTAAGGGTCTCGTGTTATTTTTGCAACACCTTGAATATTAATTGATTTCTTCTATTTTACTTATTACATGGCTATATGCTTACCCTTTGTGGTTCTTCCACCCCCGAGTCGGTGTACTTCGGCAAGATTTTGACGCACTTCTTTGACGCCTCATTCCTATTGGGACCTGGAATTAAACACAAAATGCGGGGGTCCATGGGTGGCGCTGACCGCTTACCATCAGATGATCCATCTGCTTATTCCCCCCCTGATTCTATAGTATCGATGAACTCTATAAACGGTTTACAGATTAACTACGGGGACTGAAAGGATATTGAAAATGCAATAAGTATACGGCACCTATGAGCTTGCCAATGTTTTCATATTTCCTGTATATCTCCATGTCGCTAATGTCGCACTTGTCCTCCGTGGCTCGACCTGCGTCAACATTATCACGTCACTTATTATACTTAGGGCCGATTTTTCGAACACCAGGTAACTTTATCGGAGGAATAATTTTGACATTTAAGACAATTCTTCCATACTAAAGATGAAAATTTTACTCTACAGTTAAGAAATATCTGTTGATTGAAAGATCGGCTCTAAGTGGCTTAGAGGGCAACTATTCATGTAAAGAAACTGTATATAATGTTATGAAATGAAAGATAGAATTCAGTGTTAATCCCAAACATAAATTAGAAAGAGGTCAATTGCCTAACTACGGCACTACAAGTCAAAACACTACAATATCTATAGCTTTTAAAACTTCTCACAACGTCATAGACGTTCGCGTGGACAAACATTATTATTTTCTTAGACTTTGTACCCGCTGACAAATAATATATACATTATACTCACTGCTTCTCCTCGTATTTTGCATTTCGCCGCGCTGATTTTCACGCTTGTGAGGCTATGAAACATTGTAAAAAAAAGACAAATAAACTTTAAAAAAATATAACATTAGGTTTATACATTCTAAAACTATTGATCTTTAATAACTTACTGGCGATACCGCCCCGGTTTCGCACTGGTGCAATATGCATGTATTATACATATAAACCTTCCATAAGAATTTTATTTAAAAAAAACCCGCAAAAAATCCATTGCGTAGTTTTAAAGATCTAAGCATACATAGGGACAGACAGACGGCGGATAGAGACTTTGTTTTATGATAGGTAAAGTTATAGTTATTAGAAATTGTGCCTGAATCGTAAAAAGTTTTACTAAGACCCATGCAATGAGGTCAATTTGTCCAATAGAGAAATAGCTAGTATCAAACCATTGGATAATTTAATTTTAGACTACTTTTGCTACAGTGATTGGATAAGCAGAGCTACGTTAGATACTGCTCGTAAGTAAAACGATAGCCCTCATCATCAATTGTGTAATCGAGCCTCAAGCGGTAACTACCAGCTATGACTGAACAGTATTACAATTTGGAACTCACGTATCGACTGCTTCTTCTTTGTAACTTGGCCGTACTTTTCTAAACAAAAATATTTGCAATATTTAAATAATTGTCTGTTACTTTTGTATTACTTTTAAGGATTCTTATTAAATTACAACTGCATTCTGAATCTACTGTTTGCAGGCAATAGTATTACAAAATTTACTGATTCAGGGCCAAGGACAATAAAGCTTTTAATGGGTATACATAGGTCTGTGGATAAAAATGTTATTTAAATTTAATTAATAACAATAACGAAAGTACTCACTAATGAGCCAAAACTGGAGTTTACTTTTGACGTAGTGTCCTGTCGACAATCAAAATATATTACTTAGTTTATCATCTACAGTAATACCTACGTCGTTGCTTAATAAAGTCATAGTAAAATCACTAAAAATATTATTTTAATCATATGTCTTTGTCATTAGACGGAATGGACATACATAAGACTAATGAGCCCAAATTTGAGATGTTTACTAGCATAAAACCCATCCACCATTCCATTAACCATCTTCCAATTCCATCATCATCCACCTATATGTCATCATTATATTGTATGGTCAACTAATCTACATATAACTGCCAATTTTCATGTTGATACAACAATTAGAAGTGTGTAATTTAGATTCTTAAATTTTATTGTGTAATTCGTTAGGGGTCGATCTAACAAATCAGATTCCAGGTAGTTCCCACTTGAGACTCTAACTACCAATACGATTAACCTGAATAACTAGATTTTTTTTTTCGCGAACAAGAGGAGCAAGAACGAAGAACATTTAAGTGTATCTTATAACGAAAGAACTGTACAAGTTTAAGTAAACATGTCATAAACGGTGACTGGTGGCCGAATCTTTTCAGTTGATTAGAAAATATGAGATTATTTTCGAAAGTATTAAAATATACTTACATCTTCTACTTTGGCCAACCTGCCAAAGTCATAGTTTTTCTGTAAATAAAGAAATACATTTACATATAGTACAGTACATTCAGTGTAGACAAAATCATACTGCGTCTTTTCATGCAAGGTACTGCGCGGATTTTGATATAATATTCGCTACCGAATACATTCTTTACAACGTTTTATGATAATAACTAGCTGACCCGGCAAACTTCGTTCTGCCTATTTTTTTCTCACCTTTTGAACCTTTTCTGGACTTCCATGAAACTTTACAAGACCAAAATTAGCCATTCGGCTGCCGGTTCAGCTGTTTTCGAGTTTTAGCGATACTAACGAACGGAAATTCATTTTTATTCATGTAGATAGACTAGCTACTTCCGCGCGGTTTCACAAGCTCTGCTCCGCTCCTATTTGTCGTAGCGTGATGTTTTATAGCCTATAGCCATCCTCGATAAATGCGCTATCCATCACAAAAATAATTATTCAAATCAGACTTGTAGTTACGGAGATTAGCGCGTTCAAACAAACAAACAAAAAAACAAACTCTTCCGCTTGATATAATAGTATAAGATTTGAAAAGATTGTTGACGCGCCTAATGAAGAACCTTATGAAGAAATGGATACTTACTTCCAGTACTTGTCTCATATCGTCTGGTGACTTGATTTTAGCGTGCTGAAACCATTACCTTTCAGTATTATTTGTTACATATTGTTATACAAATCTAGGTAAAAATAACGAATAATCATCTTACCACGTCATTAACAATTATCCCCGAATCATGTTCCTGAAATAAAAAGGTAGAATTTGATAAATAAATATCTATGCCTCCCGAATTAATTGCTCTCATTTTGATGAGCAACAGTTAGAAGTGTGCCATTGCAAAATTATGCAAGTTACCGGATTCTCACGGAGTACATTAGGTGCTGAGGGAGACGTGGGAGTGATGTTAGTGAGGTTGGTGAGGTTGGTGGACGTCGACGTCGCACTGAACCGACGCTGGCGCATCGGAGGGTAGTTGCTCGGCTGGAACATACCAGAGCACACTGATAACTACTTAACAACAACCACTAATTAATATAAATACAAGTCTTTCTGAAGAGTTGACGTGGTTTTGCATACAAATGTTGAAGTCAACGAAATACGTACTGATTTTAATGAAACTTAGAACGTATACGCTATCTACATATCAAGGTCTACATAGTTCAAAACATTTCAAAGAAAGAGTCAGAAATAGAGAGATGTTTTTAAGTTTCTTTACACATTCAAAACTATACATAAGTAATTGTAATAACTGCTTTTTTTAAGGATAGAAAACAGTGAAACTACGTATAATTATTTGTTACTAACGAAATAATTACATCATAAATCAGTTCCTGCCTCCTTACATCTGAGATGCCGTCGCTCACGGTGACCGGTGCGGTTCTCGGCGTGTTCCAGTAGTAGGCTCGATTATACTCCTAGTAAAACCGAAACAATTATTAATATACGATATGGAGGACTGAGGTACATACGTAATACATTACCTTACCAATATATGCCCTACCAATTAAACTTCCCGGGGAAGTCTCCGAAGAGGGAGACGATACATACCTACTTATATGTTGATCAAGATGAAAACAAATACAAACAGCAGGTAGGTACTCAAAACATCTTGCAGATGTTGCACGTAGATTTGTCTATAAATATTAAGGTTCCAGCACGGGTTCGTTTTTACTCAGCAAGCATCTGACTCCTCCTTTCTTTCCGCTTCCCCATGATAGAAGGATTCATTTGATCCAGTTAAAAAAGATGTTCACCTCGCCACTGGCGACGTTCTTGTCGGTATATTGTGGTGGTGCAGTGGAGACCGGCGTACTGGTGACCGGAGGTGCATTCCCCAGTGCGAGGTCGAAGTCGTTGTAGCGGTCGTCGTCCTGGATCTGCGGCATCACGCGGGAGTTGCGGGGCACTGCGGGTTGGGCCAGCGTCGGGGATGATGATTGCTGAGGGATAGTAATGATGCAGTATATACCTGTGTTATAGCGCAGTTAATGCTGTATGTACCTGTGCTATGGCGCGGTTGATGCAGTATGTACCTGTGCTAGTGCGCGGTTGATGCAGTATGTACCTGTGCTATGGCGCGGTTGATGCAGTATGTACCTGTGTTATAGCGCAGTTGATGCTGTATGTACCTGTGCTAGTGCGCGGTTGATGCAGTATGTACCTGTGCTAGTGCGCGGTTGATGCAGTATGTACCTGTGCTATGGCGCGGTTGATGCAGTATGTACCTGTGTTATAGCGCAGTTGATGCTGTATGTACCTGTGCTAGTGCGCGGTTGATGCAGTATGTACCTGTGCTATGGCGCGGTTGATGCAGTATGTACCTGTGTTATAGCGCAATTGATGCTGTATGTACCTGTGCTATGGCTCGGTTGATGCAGTATGTACCTGTGCTATGGCGCGGTTGATGCAGTATGTACCTGTGCTATGGCGCGGTTGATGCAGTATGTACCTGTGCTATGGCGCGGTTGATGCAGTATGTACCTGTGCTATGGCGCGGTTGATGCAGTATGTACCTGTGCTATGGCTCGGTTGATGCAGTATGTACCTGTGCTATGGCGCGGTTGATGCAGTATGTACCTGTGCTATGGCTCGGTTGATGCTGTATGTACCTGTGCTATGGCGCGGTTGATGCAGTATGTACCTGTGCTATGGCGCGGTTGATGCAGTATGTACCTGTGCTATGGCTCGGTTGATGCAGTATGGACTTACCTGTGCTATGGCGCGGTTGATGCAGTATGGACTTACCTGTGCTATGGCGCGGTTGATGCAGTATGTACCTGTGCTATGGCGTGGTTGATGCAGTATGTACTTACCTGTGCTATGGCGCAGTTGATGCAGTATGTACCTGTGCTATGGCGCGGTTGATGCAGTATGTACCTGTGCTATGGCGCAGTTGATGCTGTATGTACCTGTGCTATGGCGCGGTTGATGCAGTATGTACCTGTGCTATGGCTCGGTTGATGCAATATGTACTTACCTGTGCTATGGCGCGGTTGATGCCGGGCAGCGAGTGTCCCTCAGCTCTGAGCATGCACCAGAGGTCGATGACCCCGACCTCGTCCCCTCCATCGAGCGCATCGTGCATGCGCATTAGCCGCGGGCCGGCCAGTAGTGCGAGCGACATGTCCGCGCGGCGGTTGGTGTGGAGGAGGGCGTCGCGGAGTGGGAGAGAACATGTCGCGAACGGCTCGTTTTCTCTGTTCAGCTCGCAGATTGTTATTTTCATCTCCTCCTATGTAGAAATGTACGAACTATGTCACACTGGTGACTGCAGAAGATTTAACCTGAACCTGCTTGATTTGATTACCCTTACATTTTGACCAATTACTGACAAATAAGTAAATTAATATTTCGAGGTTAATCATATGCACTTAAGAACTTAATAGGCATCTCGTTCTGAGTTCGATTTCGAAGTTTGTTTCCTCTTCTTTTCCTTCAATAAGAATTGCATAGGAATGCTAAAGATTTCTTCCAATCGTGACTGTAATCTGCTAAAATTATCTACCTCTACTTTTAGACCAAATAGGTGTGGTGCCATTTAATGCTTTCCCAGTATTTTCCCATCTGGTAAAACTATGTACTAACATGTTTCATATAGCTGAGGAAGTGTTCGGTGATCTTGATGTCGTACTCGGTGGCGAAGTCAAAGAGTACGACGCGTCCGGGGCGCATGCGCGTCATGGCTACGTTCTGGTCGTAGAACTTCCACGTCAACACCATCGTCTTGTCGCGGGAGCTGAGCACCGCCTATGTTACGAAGGAATTACATTGGCGCAAGAAACCCTTTTCCCTAAATTTGTGTCTCACTTAACATAGAAAGATGGACAGACGCCTTTAATGTCTCTGTACTAACAAACAAACTTCATAATACATACATACATAAGATTATTTTCATAGACGACATTTATCCTTTCGGATCTGTAAAATGTTGCTTAGCGATAGTGAGATAATCTGCTTTTTGGCGTTTCACTCTCAAATGGCATCACATCACACTAGCTTATCTTTTACAACCCATTCATACAAATATTCAGAAGCAGTAACCTCGTCGGACAGCACGACGGTTCCGATGTGCAGTGTGAAGTTACACTTGGGAGCGTAGGCGTCGCCGATGCTCTGCTTGGCCACGCCCGGCCGCAGGGAGATGGGCCGCGATATGTCGGACACTGACGTCTGGGACACACTGGACACGAACCCTCCGTGGGGCTGGTACTGGGGCTGCATACAGACGTTGACGTTTTTCTCCATATTAATCTACATTTTACAACGAGTACTACGGGCACCCTTTTTTTCTGGCTGTCACTAACGGACAGACGGATTAATTCAATTTTGAGGTGTCAAAGCGCCTGTAAAGGATTAATTGAAATACAAGACTGATGAGCCTTTTCTACAAGGGTTATCGATGATCCTAATACTTGGCAGACGGATTGAGAATCTTCAGTCTTCTTGCAATTTTTTTTTTTATATTTAATGGGGCGACTTTTGGTCACTATCTCGCCTGGTGCTAAGTGATGATGTGGCCTACGATGAAGCATGTCGTCCCATAAGCAATGTATTCACTAGTAAAATAAATAATTTCTGATTCTGAGTCAAGTTTACTAGAGAAATGAACCTGCCAAAGGTATGTTTCGTCGTTTTGATAATTTTACGTTACGAATTCTATAGTAATTACTTCTTGGCACCATCACTTACCATCAAGCGATCTATAATATGACAATGAATAAAAATACAGTCTAATCATCAAGAAATATATTTATTCATAGGTACCAGTACATAAATATAATATTTTCTACTTAGGTTACTTAAATATAGGCTTGTAATAGAGGACTATTAAGCTCAAATTGTTATAAAGGTAGAAGGGAAGGACCGGAACATGTTATAAGAAAATACATTATATTTATAGAGGGAAGAAATTTTAACTACTGAGGAGGTAATGGTTTACAAAGAGGTTTTCTTATACAAAGTTACTTATTTCTATACAATACTCCAGTCTACTAGTACCCACAAAATATACAACAACCGTACATCACATCTAAAGTCTATCTATCACAATATGTACTGATTTCCACTACATCTACTCCCGACCGTCACCTAAGAACACTGTCGGTATTGTGTTGAGCTCAGCAGCCCAAGTTCCTAAAGGACAAAAGTGATCATCTGGAGATACTTTAATAAATCTGTAAATACCTATATTTAACGTCTACATTTCAATAACGCAATAATAGTATTGACGAATATATATCGAGTAAAAAGATAATCACGGCTATCCTCCGGTTATATTACGTATATTTATATTTAAGGATAAAAACGTTATAGAAGACAGCCCGTCAAAGCAATCTATCTAATATTTTACATCTATGTAATAATAACAAAATGAAATTGAAATCTACAGAGTAAACTGACCTGCTGGTGTATTTATTTTAAACTTACAAACAACTTAACATCACGCCTTTTCATCCCCGAAGGGGTAGGTTGTACACTGTACAATGTAACACCCACTTTTTACTATTTATGTTACGAGTCCCACGTAATAGGAGGTGAGCCTATTGCCATATACCGGGCACAATTGCAGACTCCGTGCTGCCAATGAGATTTTTTTTAGAAAACTAGTATTATTTTGCTCGATCCGGGAATCGAACCCGGGACCCGGCAGTCGCACTCGGCCAACGAGGCAGTCAGTTTAAACTTACATTCTTTAGATAAATGAATACTGGTCATCATGAACCTTATGTTGAACTATGGGTTTCTTCTACATATGAGATGTTCAGCGATAATCTCAATCTCTCTTTTGAGCTCCAAGGTCATATGTCTAGGTATTGTACAAGACAGGCGTGTGTATCGAGTTCACCTCAGGTCGCTGCGCCTGTAGCAAGGACTTGCAGCGCGCCAGTTCGTCCTGTATAGCTCGCAGGGCTGCTTCCATCTTTGCTGCTGACTGCTCCGATCTTGGAGCACCCGTACTGGACAATATTACGTTATTCATTTAAAATTTACCTATTTTTATATAATAATATTTTTTGTGAATGTTGTGATGTTCTTGAGAAAAACAATGCAGCGTAAGATGTTTTCTTAACAGTTGCAAACGTAAAATAAGATTGTTTGATTAAAAATGTGTAAACGTAAATTGAAATCTTTAGGTATTGAGACATGTAGGCACTTTCAATATACTTACGTGTCATCTCGTCTGTCTTTGTAACTATTGTCGTAGGACACCTTCCTTTCTGAAACAGAGTGAACCGTTGTATTGATAACGCCACATCTACCACCTGCTCCAAATGTTACCGCACCATTCCTATAAAGTTGAAGAGTTTTTTCTCCAAGTGTGGGAGAGCCATGCTTCTGCACGAATGGGCCGGCACGACCGGAGTGATACTACGGCTTCACAGAAAACAGACGTGAAACAACGCTTGCGTTGTGTTTCGTCGTGTTGGGAGGTTACCGGAGGCGGAATTACCGCCTTCTCCAGTCCCCGAATCCCCACAATCCTCAAACTCCTAATTCCCAAAAGGCTGGTAACGCACTTGTAACGCCTTTGGTGTTTCGAGGTTCATGGGCGGCGCCGATTGCTTACCATCAGATGATTCGTCTGCCCGTTTACCGGCTTACGGTTCGGTTTCCGATTTGAACGCGCTAATCTCCGGAACTATTGGTCGAAAATGAATAATTCTTTTTGTGTTGGATAGTCCATTTGGAAGGAGGAACTTCCGAGGAAGGCTATAGGATACAAAGCATCACGCTACAATCAATAGGAGCCGAGCAAAGCGGGTAAACACGCGCAGTCTACTACTGCGCGTGTTTACCCGCTTTGCTCGGCTAGTGTGAAATAAAAAAAGCAATAGTAGGTGTTATCTTACTAGTACTGGTGGGGACTTCGCCCTCGCTGAGCGAGTAGTAGTTGGTGGTAGGTGAGCAGTAGGACTCCGTGTACGTGGTGGTGGTGGTCGTCTTGTCCTCGCCCGGGGACAGGGCTCTGCCCTTGTCCGGGCTCTTACCTGTAATTGAACAACTTACTCATTCATCTATCTACTACACAACCAACGTTACCCTGTTAGGACGCCGGAATTGCATATTATTTATTTATTTATACTTTATTGCACACACAGAAAAAAAATTTGAGTACAATGGGCGGTCAATTACAATAGTTTTTTACTAGCTGTTAACTTTAATATAAATATAAATAGACGTATCTACAAATAATTATAAAAATGTTAGTCCTGAAACATGTTCCGAGACAAATTCTATGGAATAAATGCTTATTCTTTCTTATTCCAAAAAAAAACTGTTACTTATTTAAGTTACTAATTATATGGTATTATAGAAGTAACAACGCGTGTGACCCCGACAGAGTACCTAGTCCGTCTTTTACCACTTACCGTCTTTTTCCAAAGGCAAATCGGAGAGGTAAGACATTTCCAATTCAGTGTTATCGTAGGAGGCGCTCCGTTTCGTTTTGTTGGGCACCGTGTAGGTTTGTTGCTCCGAAAATATAGAGACCCGCCGGGTACACAACTCGTCCTGCACTTGTACACCTGGACAGTGGGCTGAGTTACAACGTGTGGACATACAATAAGTACGGTGGCATAATGCCAAACTCAAATAAAATGAGGAACACATCATAAATGATAAGGGCGTGATGCAAGCAGATGCTATTGCTGTCAAAAAGTGTTAAACACCTGAGCCTTATTATCTGGACATAGGTATACAATATCAAACTTCCACGAATATCCAGCGCGACATCAACGTGCTGTAGTAATGGTTATTGAGCATGACAAAGTCTATGAGAACTACGAGCCACATTAATGGGGGATTTGTAAAGAGAGGTTGTAGAAAGTCAAGGACCTTTGTTGATAGGCAGGGGTAAGCAGTGTCCGTCGACCTGTCCGGGGCAGTGGCAGTCGGGGTCGTAGTCGGCGGGGAGCGGGCGGTAGCACAGCGTGCCGCTGGTGCGGCGGTACACCGACACGTCGCGCCACCGCATCGACCCCGCGCGCTCGCGCAGCATCGACTCTGCCAACGGACACACTTACCGGAACCAAACTCATTCGGACACTACGGTTGTTCTGTGAAACTTATAGTGGGGGGGGGGAGTACCTACATCTTTCCAACTATTATTCGATAGCGTCAACTAGAGGGTAATCTACTCCTACTAACAAATAAGATCGCCTAATTGGTTCGCTGATTGGCTCTTATCCCTAAACAAATCAGCTAATCAGCAATTCAACAATATAAGTGCAAAGTGCTGCAGATAGGACGTGCTGACAATGTGTATCCAGTAGCTACATTATAACTTACGTAAGTCAGGCGCGGCTTGACTGGCTTGTTCCTTAGTTTCCGTTTTTGTCGATTCGTTTTCGTATTCGCTCTTGTACCCGTCCCCCACGGGAGGCATAATACGGTCACTGAGCATTAGTTCCCTAAAATTCGATTCTTCCAGTATATTTCCACCCTGGTCTTTAGTTCCGGTAGACGGTCGTCTATCTCGCGAGTTCCTCTTGCGCTGTATATTGTTAGACACCTTGTTGACGGTGTAGGAGTTACGTCGCGTGTCGTCCCCTGGCTGGTCAATGAGAGGGACGTCTGGCAACATGATGGGGCCCTCGGTGGTGGCGGTAGTGTTCTTAGCGATTGCCGCACTGTTCACAGTATCAGATTTACTATTTCGTTTTGATTTATCCTTTTTCTTGTCTATAGAGAAGCGACTGAAAATACTTCGTTTCCTCTCCTTGTAGTTGTCGGTCGGCAAGGGTCCTGGTATTTGCAAGCTATTGTGGTCGTCGGTTTTTGTAACTTGTTCATTTTTAGTTTCCTTGCCAATACTCGTATTGCCGAAGTCGTTCGTGTTTCTGCGTCGTGTCGCACACTCCCTATCGAATGTACAGCTGAAAAGAGTTCACGCCGTGCAAAATATTATTTTATGAGCAATTTTAAAATACACTTATTACCATAAAATGAATGATCAAATAAATAAGTATTACTCACGCAGCACATTGCTCGCACAGCTCCGGGGTAGAGACCTCGGTGGCTTCATTAGTAGTGGCCTGGTTGGCGACCAGTGCCTCCGTCATGGGCAGCTTCAGTCGGTTAGAGTACTCAGTCTCCGAGCCGTCGTACAGTTTCACCGCGTTACCTCTCTCCCGGACATTGTTCGTTGCCAACTTTGAATGCATGATCACGCCTATGTCCGGGTTGCTGGCCAGGCTGCCTGCCATGGACACTGACGCACTTAAGTATCGGTTGTCCGCGGTCAATTTATCAGCCTGCTTTTGTTCAATGGCGCGACTCTGTTCGCTCTGCTGGGCAGTGTCCTTGAATTTAAACCCATCCTGTACCGGCTGCATCTTACTTGGACCATCAGTCTCCGTGGCCTGAGTGCTCTTCAGTTTGTCTTCCACCATTTCTGTTTTGTTTAGTCCAGTCTGAAGGTTTTGGGCACTGGACACCAGTGTAAGAGGCACTGCTTTCAGCACTTTCAGTTTGGCGTCAGTCTGTGTGTGCGAGTCCGTGTCGGTCTTGTATTGGGTGACGATGCTGACGTTGTCCGGCAAGGGGTTGGATTTACTATCTTCAGGTAGTTGTGTGACCGCGGCCGCGTAGTTTCGGTTATGTTTGTTAGTCTCGCTCATCTCTACAGTCTCTTGGTATTGTTTTTGTTTCGTAGATCTGGCCGAATCAACTTTTACCGACGTCTGAGTTATGTTTTGCAACGGGACTTGTCTGTCGTAGTCAATATTTTCTACTCTCGTCGGTGGTTCCTCCGTTCTTGTGGACTGTTGATTTAAATGACACCATCAATGTCCTAAACCATGAGATATACAATAAACACAGCGTAGTATAGAACAGTTACACTTACAGCAGACGTGACATTAGGAGTTTTTGGAGCAGGTAATGTGTCACCAAGCTTCTTCTTATTTTCTAACATGTTGCTTTCCTAGAATACATAATTATATTGTAACAGCTTATAACTGTTGCTAAAATTAAAAATAAAACACTGAGACTGATACTTCATGTTGTACTAAATAGTAACTTAATTAATTTTTAAATAAACTACATTATTGCATTTAGACAATTAATATAGTATTACCTGAGCTCTTCTCAAGGATGCCACTTCACTCTGTAGTTCCAGTACTTTAGCTAACAACTGTTTATTTAGTTTATGTATACCCTGGAAAGAGTTTCGTATTATGGACACTGACATTGAACTATAAAAATCTTTCTGTTATTGTTTTCAATCGTGTCTGTGAGAGAGGGTATACTGACCAGTTCATCAGTATCCTGGCTTCTGTTGGACTCCACGTATCCTGAATCATCGGATGCTTTAGTAGTGGGCTCATTCAGTCTGCGAGGGGACACCGCGGTGTCGCCCGCGGCCGTGGTCACGGTGGCGGTGGTGGTGGTAGGGGTGGTGGTAGCGGTGGTGGTGGTGGTGGTGGTGGTAGTGTTAGTTGTGGCAGTCGTAGCAGTGGTGGGGACTACATTCTGAAAAACTATTCAGTTTTACCAACCGACATACTGAGAGTAGAATAATTATTTTATGTGGTTCCTTTTTTCTAACTGCCGATTTCAATAACCGATTTCAATACAAAATCTCTAAGTAACAGTAGATTTTTTTTATATTTGTTGTGTCGACTGACATCTATCTCGCCTGGTGGTAAGCTATGATGCAGTCTGCGATGGAGCACGTCGACCCATAAGCAACCTATTCACTCAGGTTTTGAAGACACCCTGGTTATACCCTTCAGGAAACAGACTCTGGTAAAGGATTCCACTCCCTGATTTTTTTAAATTTTGTGTTTAAGATTGGTTATTAAAACCGGCAGTAAATAATTTTGTTGCGGTTCATTAAGTTTGTCTCTAAGTTTCGTAGTTAAATCTCGAAATGAAAACTCTAAAAACGAGTTTATTGTTTCGTTATGACTTCATTGCGTCGTTATATTTTTGTTACCATAGATTCCAACTTACATAATAGTAGCTGTTAAAGTTTTTACAAACACACTAGCTTCTGCCCGCGAATTCGTACACGCAAGCCCGTTTTTTCCCATTCCCGTCAGATTTTTAGGAAATCCTTCAATAAAATCCTATATTGTTTCCTAGTTCTACTTCAGCTACCTCCCCACCAATTTACAGCCAAATCGATTTAGCCGTTCTTGAGTTATAAATAGTACAACTAACACGACTTTCTTTTATATATATAAGATACTTTAGCTATAGACTCCATGACGCGGACGTCGAGCTCTTTGTAACAGCACTTCCTGCACCGCGAGTCCTCCTGTAACAACATTAACAACGTCATGCCAGCACTACGGCGCGTCGCGATCATACTGAACAACATGACAATTGCAGCATCTACAATTACATTGTACTTACATACTACAACAACATTATATTATACTTAAAACTAAAATACAAATGCAAGACATTTCCGTCTTATTGTTTTGTTTTGGAAACTCAAACAAATATGATATACCTACGCAAAAGTATACTTTAGTACAAATAATATAAGGCTCATACTTCTAGGAGTTCCATAGCTTTCTGCCAAGCTTTACATCTGCATTCTATGTTTTTGGTTTTCTGAAATGAAATGCATGTGATGCATGAAATATAACGCATATTCGAACCGAACTACCTATCTTTTGGGGGAATGGCGTGATAGATAACAATACAATAATCTTTAAAATGTAGGAGAGCCATGCTTCAGTACAAATGGGCCGGCTCGACCGGTGTCTCACTGAAAACCACCGACGTGTGAGGAAACAACACCCCATAGTCAACCTCTAAATTCCTAAACATCAAATTCCTAATCCCCTGAAAACTCAAGTGTAGCGGACGTCCATGGGCGACGCCGATTGCTTACGATCACGTGATCTGCACGTTTGCCGGCCTATACCATAAAAAATACCCCCGCCATAGTTTGCTACGCGTTCTTATCGAAATAAAGTATTTGATGTCTAATTTGATTCTACGTATACATTGAACTCGGGATAGAATAGAAAGTTGAACTAAAATGCATACTTTCTCTGCAGTGGAGGCATCTTGTGGGGGGTGACAGGCACATATAGCATACTTGGTGCCGTTGGCATCACCCTGCAACATATCGTGGATACCATGTAGCACCAGGCGGATGCAAGTACTCCACTGTATTACAAAAGGAAAAACTACAACAGATCACGCTATTCTTAATTGACCAATGTCTGTGATAGATTTACGACTTTAACACATTTTATGAACTAAAATCTATTAGAGGAAGAGTAAGAGTTTTGCTATATTAAACAAAACAGCATCTTTTTCACTCTCAATATGACATCCTAATATAATGGAAGGTTAATTAAAAAAGCAATAATATTCTTAATGTTTAACAGAAATCGAAGTATGGGTTAGTAACAGCAGTAATGTTTAAATCATACTTTAGTAGCAGAAGTAGAGGAAGCGCCTGCAAGGCCTGCTTCCAACATTTGGTTTGATGTACAGTCACAATCGTGAGGCTTCGACTCCTGTAAATTAAAGTTTTCCGTACAAGAAAATTTGACTTACTCGTTTATGTTTTAAATTACATACTAAAAACTAACATTTTGTCACGATGATATTTATAACTACATACATATGAGATTTAGGTATTTCTTATACATCTAATTTTAAATTGATTGATTCTGTATGACTCTGGAGGAATTTATCTACGCTCCTACGCGCTACGAAATGAAAAGTAACCATACTAGTTCCTATAATTTTATAATAGTAATAGTGAGTGACGTACTTTAGTAACTGATTCACGTGCTGCAGTATTGGGTTTATCGTCGATAATTTCTATACACTGACAAGTAGGTTTTGATGAACTGTCGGCCGTTTCTTGCGTATCGCGTGTAGGGGAGCCAGTGCCATCGGTGGTAGCCGTCTTGGTGGCAATGATAGGGATATTGTCATCGGTGGTAGCATTAGTAGGGATATTGTCATCGCTGGTAGCGCTGGTAGGGCTATAGTCTTTGGTGGTGGCGGTTTCGGTGGCCTGGGTAGGAATATTGTCATCAGTGGTGGCAGTCTTGGTGACATCGGTGGTCATATTGTCATCAGTGACCACATTAGAAGAGATATTGGCATCAGTGGTGGTAGTTTCATTGGTTTTTGCTTTGGCATCAGTGATTTCAGTGGTGGTGGCAGTAGCCTGAGGAACATTAGGGATGGCGACTACGGGGGTGCCTTTAGGGGTCGCCTTGGTAGTGCCATTAGTCGTAGGTTTGGTGATACCATTAGTGGTTGATTTGTTGGTACCATTCGTGGTAGACCTGGTGATGCCATTAGTGGTAGATTTGGTAGTGCCATTAGTAACACTTTTTGTAGTACTGTTGGGTATAGTTTTTAAAGTAGAACTAGCCATAGTTCTAGACATGGCACCGCTGGTAGCCCTCGTTATGCCTTTGGTTTTCGTGGTGCCATTGAAAGTTCTATGGGGGAAATTGGTGATTCCACTTATATTGCTTTTAGGAGTGCCATTGGTGGCAGATTTGGTAGTGCCATTAGTTTCCTGCAGATAAAGATATAAACATAAAAATGTATTTTATACGCAACTAGCTATCTGCTTTGGCATAAGAATCACTGCACAGCCATTTTATTATCTCTTTAATCGCGGTGCGGTAAAGCAGTGGCTATGCTTTTCATTGCACAATTTAACAGACATTTACTTAATCAGTCCATTATTTTCAATTACTAATAACTCACACTACTTAATAATTATGAGAATATTAATGTACTCACGTTAATACTAGAGAGACGGTCCTCTATAGTCCTGTTGACCTTGTCCGACATGTTGGCGGCTTTCAGCTGGGTCTCTAGTTCAGCCACCCTGCGCCTCTCTACTACTAGTTGCGCTTCCAGTTCCGCTACACAATATACAGCTTAATGTAGTTTACTATCGTGTTTTAAACTTAAGACTTGTACTAATTCGAATCGAACAATAATAATATATAAAATTTCAAGATGAGTATGATACTCATCTTGAAATTTTATATATTATTATCACCACCGACTAAAGGATTACGCAGTAGGCACAGTTCTGATATTATGAACCATTTAAACTGTAATCTCCAATCCGCCTACTCAGTGTAGAGATTGTGGCAAACCGTCATCCATTTAAAAGAGATAGTCCAGCAATAAACAAGACATACCGCATCTAGCCTCAGCAGTCCTATACTCGGCCAGGACCTCTCCGTTCTTCTGCAGCGAGGTCTCGAGCTGGTGCAGGCTGGCGGTGCGCTCGCCGGACACGCGCACGTTCTCGCGGCGCACGTCCAGCACCTCCGTCTCCAGCCTGGACAGCCGCGCGGAGTAGTCCTCGTGGACCATGTTTAGCTCCTGTATGTAGGAGGGATGGTAAAATTACCATAAGACACTGGTGTTACAAAGTTAGAAAGATGAGGAATTCGAAATAGAAAATTCTCTAGCATGTCACACAAAACCGTCAATGGCTATGACCGATATGTTCTATATTCTATGACAAATGATAAGGGTACTTATTCAGGGTGGTGGTATAAAACAGTATACGTTAAGTAAAACTAAGCCGAATTTATAACTAAAGAAAATAAAGAGCTAAACTATGGTATGAATCTGAATGCTGAATTATTTCTTACCTCTTGTAAATTAGCAATTTTCATTTTCAACTCTTGCATGGCAGTTTTACATTTGTTTTCGTCACATGTTAGTTGGGAGCACCCCCTGAAACACCACCATGATGATATCACATACAAAACTTATTTTGTAAAAAACATTGTTTTTTTCATTAGGGGTAGGTACCTAGTTCTAGTACGTAGGTAATTGAGTCATGCAAATCAAAAAGAGGTTGTTACATCTATATGTGCACATCGATTGTTTTAGGAATACTAAGACGTCATACAATTTAGTAAAAAAAACATAGACTCTTGAACGTTTAAAGCTTACTTGTTGTTACGGTCGTCTTCTGTTTGCACGGAATTCGGACTCATTGGGCTATAAATAAAAAATAATGACAAGTTAACATTAATGATGGTGATGATGGTGGCGAATATGTCAATGACGGTGACGGTGACGGTGACGACGATGGTGATTATGGTAACGGTGTTTGTGGTGTTGTTAGTGATGAATTAATTTATAATTAGTTTATAGTGATGTACCTACCTATCCTCACATTGCATGGAGGTGGTCAACTTGGGAACTGTTTCACTCGACTTGTCATTGTTTCTGTGAAATGTTTTATTTTTTATGTACCTAATTAGACTAATTTGGACCAGGCAATAAAATTTTTCTCAAAGATTTCAATAGACGGCCTACCTGCATAAATGTATTATAAAGAAATTAGTTATGTTTAGCCATCAGCACATCAAAACGAAGTTCAAACGAAGAACCCCTACAGAGTAATATACCTACTAATTACTACTACCCATATTATCTCTTTAAGTATCTTTTTATTAAGCCGAAGGATATTCACTGAACAAAACATGATAAGCGAATAAAAACTTGCTACTTGCATCCAATTATCAAATCAAAGTACTTTATAAATAAGTAAAGAATTTACCTCCTCATCATTGGTGCGCCAGTGGTGACAGTAGCACAGCGCACACACCTGGACGTGGAAGCTTGTGACGGAGACTTCCTGTGGAACTGTTTCGCTGAGCACAATCTCATGTTCAGCTGCTGTAGTTTATCTGATAGCTTCTGGTTGGCACGTCTCAATTCTGTTATACTGGAACCAACAAGATTGTCAATTGTATAAGAAAATTTTATTCACATTACCTTTGTTATATTATGATACCCATGTAGTAGGAAGTGTTCTCAATGTCAAGAAAATTGACAATCCTGTGGTACCTAGTTTGCCTGGCCTGGGAAGCTAACTCTTTGATTTGTAGATCATTGAAGCATTTTAACTTTAACAATTACATTTTTAAGCTTTTTACACTAACTTGTTGGTTGTCCTACATTAATTTCTGGACTTTAAAGGGACTGACTAAATAATTAATAATTGCTAAAGTGTAAAGTAGTGCCTAGCAAAATTCTAAGAGCAACATTACATACATACATGATTTGCTATTTAGAGAGGATCATTAAATTAAACTAAACAAAAATTTCACTAAAAGTAGCAAATTAAAATTTTAGACATCATTAGGAGATAATATTACTTAAACACCACAATTAGATAAAAAAATGAATAACTCAAAGTTTACTTTAATTGAATTGATATAAGGGTAATTTTTTGACATTGTTCATTTTACTTAAAAACATAAATAAAAATAATACTAACGACTCTCGTTGCTCATTGATGACAAACTTGCTGCCGACACAGCAGTCCTTGAACTCCTTACCCTGCAGCAGCCTCTGTGCGGTGGTCATCCGCTGCACCTTCGTTGACAACCCTTTGATCGTATCATGCTGTCCGTTCACAGTGCGTTTCAATTCCAAATTGTTCTCAAGAAGAGAAAAGTATAAATCTTCTAATTCACGTTTGCTTAATTTTGATGGACATATTCTATAGATTTCTGCAAGTAGGTAATTGTATTATTTTAAGTAATTTAATAAGTCAACATTAGTTACTTCACTTGCATGTGATTCTATATTTTATGCTGTCTCACTTAATATTCCTAGCTTTATATACTGAAAAAAGATTGTACAATAAAACGATTTAAGTTGTGTGTAAGTATTATTAAAAAATGATTTGAGATAGAAATTATTAAACTTAAAATAAATATTTCTCACGGACTTTGCAACTAATTAATCACCTTAGTGTGATAACAACAAACCACATTTTACAAAACTGGATGCAATTAACTACTTACTTATATAGATACGCCAAAATATAGACTTTATAGACTGTTTATTTATAAGAAAGTACAAACCTCGATCCGACCTGGCTGAGTGGCTTTTACATACGTTATTATAATCATTTTTATTGAGATTCTCTTTACTGTAACAACTCATGATGATAACTTGCACTTTAACAAAATCACAAACAAAAACTAAAATAATATAACAGGCATGGAATTTTGATTTATTTATCCCAACATCTCAGAATATTGTGATGTCCACCCGCATTCACATGTTCGCACAAATAATATCTACGCCACATAATTTTAGCCAAACAAGATGTTTAATTATTGTAATTTCACATCAATGCAAAACTGTTTGCTGATAAAACGAAAAGACCGCCATAGCAACGCACGCGGAAATGTCAACAAAGCAACTGTCAGTTCATAGACAACAAAATTAGAAGAAAATATACTTTCGTGAGTCACGATAGAGTATGTATTGCAATGACTTGTTTACAGCGCCATCTAGTTATTATCAAGTAAAGACATAGGGTAGCTGTAGCTGGTTGGCTGGTTATACAAAATAGGGAGTAGGTAGGTAGGCTGGCAGGTTGCTTTCCAAAATTTTGGCACCTCTCTAAATCTAACGTCCAAGGCGCTTGCCTAGTTTGCCTTAGGAATAATACGGATCTCACCGTATCTGCTGCCCTAAAAAGATGATGTAGCACAGACTAGTACTGTGATCGGGTCAACAATGGAATACACCCAGCACATCCCATACGGGTTGTTTATAGGACTATGTACTCAGGATTTAAAGACACTGGTTGTCCTTACCTATCCTCTCCAAAATACACATTATAGGTGGTAGATTGGTAGGTACCTATTTAGGTATTTGCATTTTATAGGTAATTACTTGAAATAAAATAAATAACTAGGTAATCCATCAACAGATTTTATTTAACAATTATTATTTAACATTATAACACATCGATTAGGTTCTACATAGTACTTTACTTATAAAAACACATAGATATTGGAATGACAGTACAACAGTAAGTAGTAGGCAAGCAATACAAACGAAGCATAGGCCAAGATATTTTATAACTACAATAAGTAAAATTAATACTTTTGATAAATTGCATTATCAAAAAATAGCCTAGAAGTTCTCGATAGAGTAGGTACCTAGGCATTACCTATTTGTTTATATTTGTTACTTTGTAAGTTTATTGTCATTCTTTCGTTGATTGATGCCCAGGTTTTAGGGAAATGTTTTACATTCCATACTATATTCATATAGGTGTATAGGTAGTACAGGAAACTCGAAAAATTTCATATTATGAATGCTAAAGGCAGCCTTAGCCATTAAAGATATAAAAATTATAGATAAATGATTGTAAGGCCCAAATAAATGTTTTAATCTTCAAAAAGCCATCAACTAGGTCGACAACAACAAAAGCATATTTAATTGCAATTAATACAGGATCACGAATACCTACTTACAAATTACAACACCACTTTATATAGGTAATCGTACTTCTTAACTTAGAATTATAAAATTATCATTAAATTATTTAATACTGGGTAACTCACAACGTGATCACATACCTACTATCACGTACTACACATACATGTTGGCACGCAGACATACACGTAGGGTTGTGTTGGAAAGCAAGTACCTACACTCTCCACAGATAATGCAAAGACTATTAATGTGACATTAGAGGCAGGCCTCACGATGTGATGTGACGAAACTTCGTCTCAAGTAGGTATATTTAGCTAAATAGGTAGATAAGTTATTAGTGTGTCATAGAATTTCATCATTAAATGAATGTCATTTTTTTAATTGTTGAGCAAAAAGTGGATGATCTTTTTATATAATTCAATAAAATGTCTGCAACGAGAAGTGTTTAAGTACTTGCTTAACAAAACAAATCTAGATACACAAACCTTAACAATCGCCTAAGTTATAACTTACTAGTTTAATTTTAACACGTAGAGATTACACAAAAAGCCAAAACAATCCTTAATAGATCACAAATAGGATTTAAAATCCCAAAATAATTTATTTTAAAATACACTAACGGCAGAGTGATGAGCTACTTTCTTTTAATTACAAAACCTTGTTGTCTACAATTCTCTAGGAACAGACTACCTGCTCATACTCTGCTTATACATACTAACTTACAATCATAATTATTTATTTTATTTCTATATAATTTTATATACGATATAAAGTTCTAAATGGACATAGATTTTTTTATTAGATGGCCTTTAGGCCGAAAATTTTTGGATTTATTTGTAGGTATTTGGGGCACTGACATACATCTGTTCTGCCTCTTCGATAGACAGCCCAATGTGCAAAATGTAGGTATTATTTAGGGCGTTCTGAATTTATTCTAATTATTTTGCGCATATTTTTACGAGCACATACGCAATGTTTAGAATTTTGTAGAATATTATAAGTAGTTACATGTAAGTATATTGAAAACTCCTACATCATACAATTTATATATAGGTATATGTATCCTTCATTTAGCTACGTCCACAATATAATGTATGTATTTAAAATATTTGTCTCAATTTCATCCAAAAGGTTAGTTTTCATAAATATTCAATCAATCTACAACATCAATATATCATTCCGAAGATACGTCACAATCTATTCTAGTTGGTGGCAAAAACTACCGTATAGATACAGTCACACAATTATTGTCGTGATTTCAAGTTCTAGCTCTATATTATAATCCTAGGAGCTACACATTTCTTCCAAAATATTCGCTAGGTAATTTTAAAAGAATGTCGGAGTGTATTCATTGGATGCACATCGCTGTTCCTCCCTGAGGCAAACATTCGTTCGATTAACTGCTTTCTTATCGAGACCTCTACATTCAAAATTACGATAAAATATGTCGGTACACCTTACAAACCTAAAGATAAATCACATATAAATAATATTTAATTCATTTAAAGGAACTTTCAGTGAAATAAATACAGCACTAAAATCAATAATAAAAAATAAATACTTAGACATTTCACAAGCCACTTTCTTTAAAATTCTCTAATTCTTCTCGCCTTATACAGTCGAAGCTGCCGAGCTTACTTAAAGTCTACAGAATTTGACACTTGGATGATAATGGTATCACTAAAAGGCATTTCCATTATAATAAATAATTTCAATAGGTACCTACTAGGCTACTAAAATATTAATTAAAAATCTCTGCAAATTATTGCCGTATACGTTTATCCATTTATTCCTCTCTAGAATTCGCCTGAGAATGAGTCCAAACAAGATGATAACGATAAATTCACAGCCTAAGCACCACTAACATAAGTATAATACGTAAACTTATCATTAATAAATAATAATATTATAGTGAGATAATGTATCGCTGCTAACAATATATTATAATTTTTATAGGCCCGACTTAAACTGAGTGCAGTTACGTCACAGCTTGAGTCCAACTCACAGAGAATTTAAAAATAATTAAAAACGTAAAGCTGGCTGCATACAATACAATAATTTTATAAAATAATGCATTATTTGAGAATACTTTTGGAATGTAAGTTATTATGAATACGTTGATCGATTCACTCCTTGGCGTTGTTCTGAGCGGCCTGGCGCCTCAGATCGGATCGGATGGCTGCCGTGATGGCTGTGCCTAGAGCCAGCAGTCCACAGAGAGTGAGGTTCGACCAGCGATCTCCAACTGTGCCCAGCATCCATTCATACAGTAGGGTAGTTACAATACCAAAGATCTGTAATGAGGATAATAAGAGGTAAGCAAAAATGGTGAACCTTGATGAGGAGGTGGCTTACGATGGCCAGAATTTATGAAGACATGAAGTAAATGTAAGAGCTGTATTACCTGAACTACAGCGTTCAGTATTCCTGAAGTGGTGCCTTCAGGCTCGGGGTAGGTCACCTCTGAAGCAAACTCGAAGCCCACAGGTAAGTAGCCAGTCATGAAGAACCTAGAAACAGGAAACAATGTTAACATTATAATAATGATACAGCACAATTGGTTTATCCTAACTTAAACAGCGTGCCCCAATTGGATATCGCTGGGGTGAATGTCTAGGTATTTTGATGAGGAAAAATAATCTATAAATACTGACCCAAGTAAAATGCTGCTGAGATAGACCACGGCGATGTATCCGCAGTCGAGCGTGAAGGTGAAGATGAGCATGCCGACGACGGAGGCGGCGTACACCGAGAGCGTGGTCTCCTTGAAGCGGTGCGTCTTGTCCAGCACCAGCCCGCACACCACCGACCCTGCCATGCCGGCCACCACGATCACCAGACCAATGCGACCCGCGTCTACGTTAGCTCCCTGGAAGAAAGACATAAAACAATGTAAAAATATTCACCAAAATAACGAAACTGCACCATAGTTTATTCAATATCAGCTTCAGCACCCATGCATTTTTAAAGTAAGTAATACTTCTACAGTAGCTGATATAGGCCGGTTATGCATTTTTGTAACACCTCTGGTTTTGTAGATGTCCATAGGCGGCAATTGATTATCACTAGATGGTCAGCTCGTTTGCCCCCTATGCCATATAACAAATGAACAGCACGACACTTACCGGATAATAAGTGAGAATGACTTGGTTGAGCAGGGTCGAGATAGCGTAGAAGGTTCCGACGTTGAGACCGTATGAGATGAGGAGCAGCACATAGTTGCGGTTCGTGATCAGCTTCTTCAGGGACAGTAGGAAGTTCGAGTCCAGACTGTTGCCAAGATCTGCAGCGGCTGATGGTGGCGAGGGGGGAGCGGCCTTGAAGACTGGAAAAACACTTTATTATTAATACTTTAATAAAATACTTATTATCATTGGTCCAAATAAGAATTGTTATATTTGTTTATTTAGGTAGGATAACTTTGCCTGCCTTGTTTGTTGAGTTACTGTTATGAATATGTCTGCGTCACAGTTTACGTCAAAAAGGGTACCTACGTACGGTGCGCGTCACAAATGCCTAATGTAAAAAGGTAAACGTAAACACCTATTAATGTTAATGATGAAGGAAAAAAAACCCCGAGACCCCACAATGACGTGTCAATAAACCTATCCACTTGGGTTTACCTAAATAAATTAATAAATACTTAATCGTTTTTACTAATTCGTGTTATGATAAAGACTAGGTACTCATTCATCAGTCTAAACTGAACTGTGTTTTAATTGATGTTCCTATTAACCTTCCTAGCATACCTGCTTAACACTTGCGGAAATCTAAGTTAAGAAGAGTTCTTATTAAATTTCATAACATGGCCTTTGCAATTTAGGTAGATACTTATCTATGTACTTCAAAATAAAGTAGATACAAGAAATGGGTGATCATGAAATAAACTTTAAATCAGTTTAAATGTGCACAGTCCTCATAGTTCTCTGAACGAGTTATAAGTCAAGAAGTGAAACCAGTAACTTGCATCAGTAAGTTGTTCCTACAGAGAAGTTACTTGCTCTCGTTACAAACTGTCATCGTTTATGAGTTACACACAGTTTAACTGCGAACTGCTATCTCCTGGTTCAACAACTTTTAAGTGCTTCCCGTGTTAATAACGAGGGAATTAAGTTGCACTTCAAGAAATTTTACCTAGGAATTTCTTTATTTGTACACGCGGTTGACGTTGAAATTAGTTTTAAAAAAATAGTGATTATGGGTTTCAGATTTAACAGTAGGTACCTCCTAAGTAGAAAGTGTTGACCTAAGTAGAAACTATGTCGTTCTTTTCAACAAGAAGTTTTTATTTTTGGGGACTGAGACCTATTTTATGTTATTTATCTCCGTTTCTATAATTGCACTATCAATTCTAATCTAATAAATGAAATCGAAATGATCGAAATCTAAAAACAAAATCCATGTAGATACGTAAATATCTGTTGGTTATTACATCACACCTATCGAGCAATTTCTATGATAGGTACCTAGCCATTTGCAAATATCCCATTATGAGACTCTCGTAAATTAAGTGAGAATCGCGATAGTGTATCTGTACAAGTACAGGTGTGCACGAGTATAGCCTTTTTATTGCTTAAACTCGTTTCACAATTCAGTCTAATAAAGTACAGATGTCGAGTTGATATTATATATATATATATGCATATTGATAGGTATATAATATGTCAAAATAAGTCCTAACAAAGTTGTGACGAAACTACTAGTACTAGATACTTATGCTTAATTGCCTAGGATCGAAAATATGTGTGAGTGGGTGCCTATCCTAAATAAATACTAGTTAGACGCTAGTTATCAGATTAATCGATATTATACCGAGTGGCTCCTTTATCGAGTGATGGCAACCTGTGGTCGCTATGCTATTATATCAAACCAGCAGTTTTTGGGTTTTATCAATTATTCCTTTGAAATTATGTTCGCTATTTTGTAATTCAGGTAAGACAGGTTCTCTAGCCTACCAAACATTGTAAATGATTAGTGTAAGACCATTTAAGTAACTACTAAACTGAGTACCTACATAAATATTGAGTTTAAAACAAACAAACAAAACGGATTACGAAAATAAAATAAGAAATTATCTAATACTTACACAGTAGAATAAAAACGAACAGCACACTGGTGAAGCCTGCGATGAGGTAGAACATGAGGCGCAGGTCGGCTGCTATCTCGGGGATGGTGCCCGATGCACGGACTAACATCGGAGGAAGCACGAAGCCAACGGCAACACCAAGCTGGGGAAGAAGATAACAATTTATGAACAAGTACGGAATCTGTAAGTTTGATGGTAGCAACTAAGTACATAGCGGAACGTAAGTGACTTTTTCTAAGGGGGAAAAAACATCGAATGGCTTCTCCCACCTGGGTGAGGCGGGAGGGAGTGTCAGACTCTTACTGACTAAAAACCACCCCGTTCCTACTCCTGCCCTTCAATCCGGAGCCCCGGCAACCCATTTAGTCTTCCACGGCTCCGTATCAGCCCTATTGGGCCCCATCTGTGGTGGTCTGATGGCTCTTTGAGGAGCACGTGGAACGCGATGCGCCGCACGCTCAAGTCTAAAGTAAGGTACAAGGATAGGCTTCATCACTCGGTGTTGTTTTGGTAGATCGCTAAATTGATTCTGTAAGTAGTAAGCTTGCAACTTCTGTAAGCTGGGATATTACATCACGGCTTACTTGCCTATAGGAGTTGCACTATCTGATTTTTTTTTTATTTTTTGTGCAAATCAGTAGAGGTTTTTTGTGCAAATCAGGTCAAGTTAAGTTTAGGCTTAAGAGGTATAACTTCTCATTTTACTTTTTAGAAAAGATTTGAAAGGCGCCAGTATATTTCATCTGACAAAAATATTGTGTTCAATTCTATCATACAAAGATTTTTCTTTGAAAATATGAAATGGAAATAGTTAAAATTAATTTCGCTATGCGTATGTATATTCAGTGGAGCTAACAAGTTTTCGCAGTAATCCGCTTACTACGGCTTTCACGTCTGTGTACGTGAGGTAGGTAAGCAGAACTATGTAGGTTTTTCACATGAATTAATTTCACTTTGATGATACTACGGCCAGGATTAAAAGAGGTTCGTAGAAAAAAGATTTATAAAACATAAAGGTGTGTCTAGATTTTTTTCGCTTTGCGGTTGCATAATTATTGTATAATAATAGGTACCTAGTTTAAGTTTAGTGCCTAAAGTGCGTTTAGAAGACGTTCACTAATCTTGTACCTGTTTGTCGACTAGATTAGTAAGTAAGTAAATATTAAATTTTCCACAGGTTTAAAGTTTATAACAAGCAACTTTAGTAACATGGTAAAAGTATACCTAAGTAAACTTGAATTTTGAAGAAATTTTAATTAAATTATCTAAAATCGCGTGTTATTCACGTGAATATACTGAGAAAAAATCGCGACGTAGCGCACGCTGGTCATGAGGATGAACCCCTCTGTGGTCCGAAACTAGTAGAGCTTTTCTCAGTATATTCACGTGAGTAACCCGCGATTTTAGTTAATTTAATATGTCTCACGATAGTTTATTATAAAAATTTTAATTAAGCTCTTAGATTATGGCTTACAATTACAGTCAAAGCAATAAAATGTGAATAAAAAACTGCAAGGACTGCAAATAAAATGCTATTCAAGTATTGTGACAAATAAACCACGCAAATGATATAAGACAATAGAATCACGATAAGTAGGTAATCTTAGAATGGTCATAATGAACGTAAACAGATTACATCTCCCAGTTTGTTCAGTTAATTCGTAAAACAATTAAATCTTATTAATTCGGGTATAAAAAGACAGTCCTTCAAGGTTTCGTTTATATTTTTATAACCGGCCGAATTTTAGTCGCCTTAATCTCAAAAATCTGCAAATCCTTCTTGGATGCTGTAAAGATTAACGTTATGTGTAAATACCCCAATTTAATTCCGCGTTTATTTGGCATAAAATACTTATTTAGATACGTTTGCTTAATTATTCTGCTTTTGTAACAGTAAATAACGTAGTGTTTACTGTTATTTCATCTTTAGAATTTAATCCTCGAAAATCTACCTAATCCATGAAGAAATAGGCTTTAGATACGTTTTTTATTGTATCTGTTCATATGAGAGATCATCTATTCGTTGTTAAGTAGGTACCCAGGTATATTCATCTCCTACATAGGTATCTACCTACATGCTTAATTGAATTTGTTATGAAAGTTTAAAAAATACTTATCTGTGTAATCTCCAATAAGCAGTAAATTGTACTATTTAACTCGTCGAGTACCGGTTTTATAGACACAATTAAAGAACAATAGGTCGCGGTCACCGGTGACCGCTTGGTGTTTGACAGATTAATACACAATTAGTTTAATAGATTGAAAATAAGAAACAATCAAAATCAGTATAAAAGAAGAACAACGACTTGTGTGATACACAGATTGTTGTTCCGGGTCTGGGTGTCATGTGGGGTAACGTCTTTTTAGAAACAAATAGAAAAAAAAGTACCTACCTACGACATTTTTCCAAAACTCTAGCATGGCAACAAAGAATTTTAATATTGCAAGAGGCTGTAAGGCTCGTAAATCAATGCTTGTGTACCTGGACGATATTAATCGGTGCTCTATATGATTTATAAGTCATTTTCAAATGGGACTTGAATTAAAAATGCGTATTTTCATTTAGAATTTCACATCTCTACTAATTAACATTGCACGAATGTTTTCAAAGGGTTTTTCAACAATAATATGTAGCACCTTCATATCGTCTGTTATTATTATTAAAAGTATTTGTGTCATATGTTATGTTATGAGTCCCTTTTATAACCAGATTGCTACACCAAGAACAATTTCAATTTGTCTCATTTTTGAAAATTACGAGGGCCCAAAAACAACCCATAACCCTCCTAAAGAGACCCCTAATATGGAATAAATAAAATTTAAGTATTTTTTACGTGGAGGACTAAGGGGGAGGCCTTTGTCCAGCAGTGGACGTCTTCCGGCTGTTGTTGATGATGATGATGAAGTATTTTTTATAAATAGTTACAATTTGTATAAAGTGAGAAAACCACTGCACCTACCCATTAAGATAACGTCAAACAATCAGTATTTATTGATTGCAATTTGATAAGTGCAATTTTTCTAAATTGACATGAGGTAGGACATCTGAATAAGGAAATGCATATCAATTGTAGATGAAGATGTCTACGAGTTACAGTAACATATTGCGACTATTATACCAAGGCAATTACTTACTGAGAATATTAAGTGTATTTCCATTGTATTCAAGTGTTCCCGACAAGTGTTAAAAGACTCATCCACAGGTAATTTGGGAAAACAACACCATCTATCGAAGTCTAAAGCAGGACGGCAGAACAGTCGCACTTAAAAATTCTTTACCAACCAAGGCGATTAATATAGGTACTATTATAGTAATTAGGTTTGCTACCTGAAATTTTTAAGATACCTAGTAACACATTCGGAAGTTCGAAGTCAATTTTCCCAGTTAATCACCGGGAAACCAAAAGTTTGGAAGTATTTTACATAATCGATTTTGGACCCAGTGGAAGTTTCTAACTATTTTGTAGATATAGATAACTACTTATCCACGATATACATTGTGTATGTGTATGAATTAAATAATTTTAAGACTAATTCTAGAAGGTACTTAAATATAATGACAAGAGAATGCCTATTTGTAGCACTAACTTTGAGTGAGCAATCCTAACTAAATTCCATAAAACCCCGACATTAAAACCCTGTCTCATCCTATTCCTGACAAACCGAATTATGGAAATCCCTATATAACGCGTTCCCGCCCAAAACTCGGGTATCGAAGCCGCCAGGTCCGATAAAATGTAGCGTCCAATAAAACGCCAGTTGTCCACCATTGCGTCGCCGGTCGCGTGCCGGTCGCGCGCCGTCCGACAGTCGGACACGGTGCCGTGACATTACACACAACCGGGGAGCCGTTACAGTTTATATTTCAAATGAAAAACGTCCCGCTGTTAAATATTTCACGATCGCCACTGGTGTTACACGTTTTTTTGACGAATGTATTGTTTGCTACGTGAAAGCACCTACATACATAGGTACTTACTTACATCTACGCATAATGTGAATACATTTTCATAGATTAGCACCTCCCTATTTATATAGTTACTGTTTTAGATGCGATTCGCTATCCTAGACACTGAAAGACTTTAGGTAAATACCGATCTTGTCAATTGGCGTATAAATCGGCCTTATTCCGTAAGTCAATAAGTACGGCAATCCATCAGTCAGAAGCCCACAAGTCTGTCAGCGGATTTAAACTTAGAGGAAAATATTGACATCTAATCGAATCTAGAATAAAATCTTCAGTAAACCTACTCAAAGTTTACTACTTTGGAAAGGCAGTTACATAAAGGAAAGCACAACTCGGAAGTAGGTACTTACTCTGCGAATATTTTCCAAATGAGAAAATCGAGTCATAAAAAACATCAGGTGTCATGACTTTTTGCCGCCATTAAATCTCGGCGAAACGATCCATTAGCGGTAATTATTCACATTCACGACCAGATTTCTGCCAAAAATAATTTCTGTCCTAAGGTAAAGTTCTGACCCAATTAAAAACATCCACAAATACTTTTTGAAAAGGCTTAGAGGATTGTGACGGAGATCTGACATCGCACAGGTTGAACGGTGGTCGTTTTCCTTGTTCCCAAACCAGTTGGCAAGTCGAGCAATAAACATAAGCCGGATACAGTTAGAAATAGTTGGGGTAAATTGAAAGTGCTGTCTGATGGATATCTCAAGGATAGCCACGACAACCAGGTTTTCCTTCCTGTTGGACAGATTACTAGTCGTGACGTGTGTCGGATGACGTGGTCAGAATGAGAAACAAGATGTCGATTTAATTAGGGGTTATAACAAAAACATGTGAACAAGAAAATGTGATGCTAAAAGCCAAATTTCTGGCAAAGCGTAATTATTTATTTTAAAAGTTAATTTGGAATAAATAATTTATTGGCTGGCTAAGTGCAGGTTTACTCATCATCTTGCAGAATATAAAGGTCATGATGACGAAATGTAATGTTGAAAAACATTTCCCGGACCAGCGATGTTGTTAAAACTGAAAATTCTTTTGGACATTATTCGAATTGAATTCAGTTACGGTAAAAACATTACAGAAACGAGATTGAAAGCGAAATCGTGCATAGAAACTCTTTTGTAAAGAACGCTGTACCTCCTGAAATATCGCCTGCATTCAGCGACCGGCGG